CTCCTCTCTACTTTGCAGGCCACAGCTCCAGTCTATCAGGGAGGAAGTGAGTCGCAGCTGTCACTTCCTTCCAGGTTACCAACAAGAAGGCCAATGGCACAAGTGCTTACACCACTCATAAGCAGGCACATTTCACAAATACCTTGCAACGATCTATGCAATTCTGTATATAGCCTTCCTAAATCACATACCTTCCGTTCATCTATATATAGACATAGCACTGAGCCCCTACGAACACAGACATTCCCCGTCCTCCTAATACACAGACATCAGGACACCTACCTCTCACCTCCTCCTAATGTACAGACATCAGGACACCTACCTCTCGCCTCCTCCTAATACACAGACATCAGGACACCTACCTCTCACCCCCTCCTAATACACAGACATCAGGACACCTACCTCTAACCTTCTCCTAATACACAGACATCAGGACACCTACCTCTCACCTCCTCTTAATACACAGACATCAGGACACCTACCTCTCCCCTCCTCCTAATACACAGACATCAGGACACCTACCTCTCACCTCCTCCTAATACACAGACATCAGGGCACCTACCTCTCACACCTCCTAATACACAGACATCTACCTCTCACCTCCTCCTAATACACAGACATCAGGACACGTACCTCTCACCTCCTCCTAATACACAGACATCAGGACACGTACCTCTCACCTCCTCCTAATACACAGACATCAGGACACGTACCTCTCACCTCCTCCTAATACACAGACATCAGGACACCTACCTCTCAGATCCTCCTAATACACAGACATCAGGACACGTACCTCTCACCTCCTCCTAATACACAGACATCAGGACACCTACCTCTCACCTCCTCCTAATACACAGACATCAGGACACCTACCTCTCACCTCCTCCTAATACACAGACATCAGGGCACCTACCTCTCCCCTCCTCCTAATACACAGACATCAGGGCACCTACCTCTCACCTCCTCCTAATACACAGACATCAGGACACCTACCTCTCCCCTCCTCCTAATACACAGTCATCAGGACACCTACCTCTCCCCTCCTCCTAATACACAGACATCAGGACACCTACCTCTCACCTCCTCCTAATACACAGACATCAGGACACCTACCTCTCACCTCCTCCTAATACACAGACATCAGGACACGTACCTCTCACCCCCTCCTAATACACAGACATCAAGACACCTACCTCTCACCTCCTCCTAATACACAGACATCAGGGCACCTACCTCTCACCTCCTCCTAATACACAGTCATCAGGACACCTACCTCTCCCCTCCTCCTAATACACAGACATCAGGACACATACCTCTCACCTCCTCCTAATACACAGACATCAGGACACCTACCTCTCACCTCCTCCTAATACACAGACATCAGGACACCTACCTCTCACCCCCTCCTAATACACAGACATCAGGACACCCACCTCTCACCTCCTCCTAATACACAGACATCAGGACACCCACCTCTCACCCCCTCCTAATACACAGACATCAGGACACGTTTCTCTCACCTCCTCCTAATACACAGACATCAGGACACCTACCTCTCACCTCCTCCTAATACACAGACATCAGGACACCTACCTCTCCCCTCCTCCTAATACACAGTCATCAGGACACCTACCTCTCACCTCTTCCTAATACACAGACATCAGGACACCTACCTCTCACCTCTTCCAAATACACAGACATCAGGACATGTATCTCTCACCTCCTCCTAATACACAGATATCAGGACACCTATCTCTCCCCTCCTCCTAATACACAGACATCAGGACACCTACCTCTCACCTCTTCCTAATACACAGACATCAGGACACCTAACTCTCACCTCCTAATACACAGACATCAGGACACCTATCTCTCCCCTCCTCCTAATACACAGACATCAGGACACCTACCTCTCACTTCCTCCTAATACACAGACATCAGGACACCTACCTCTCACTTCCTAATACACAGACATCAGGACACCTACCTCTCCCCTCCTCCTAATACACAGACATCAGGACACCTACCTCTCACCTCCTCCTAATACACAGACATCAGGGACACCTACCTCTCACCTCCTAATAAGGCATATCAGGACACCTACCTCTCACTTTCCTCCCTAATACACATCAGACATGTACCTCTCACCTCCTCCTAATACACAGACATCAGGACACCTACCTCTCACCTCCTCCTAATACACAGACATCAGGACATGTACCTCTCACCTCCTCCTAATACACAGACATCAGGACACCCACCTCTCCCCTCCTCCTAATACACAGACATCAGGACACCTACCTCTCACTTCCTAATACACAGACATCAGGACACCTACCTCTCACTTCCTAATACACAGACATCAGGACACCTACCTCTCACTTCCTCCTAATACACAGACATCAGGACACCTACCTCTCACCTCCTCCTAATACACAGACATCAGGACACCTACCTCTCACCTCCTCCTAATACACAGACATCAGGACACCTACCTCTCACCTCCTCCTAATACACAGACATCAGGACACCTACCTCTCACCTCCTCCTAATACACAGACATCAGGACACCTACCTCTCACCTCCTCCTAATACACAGACATCAGGACACCTACCTCTCACCTCCTCCTAATACACAGACATCAGGACACCTACCTCTCACCTCCTCCTAATACACAGACATCAGGACACCTACCTCTCACCTCCTCCTAATACACAGACATCAGGACACCTACCTCTCACCTCCTCCTAATACACAGACATCAGGACACCCACCTCTCACCTCCTCCTAATACACAGACATCAGGACACCCACCTCTCACCTCCTCCTAATACAGAGACATCAGGACACCCACTCTCACCCTCCTACCAGACATCAGACACCCACCTCTCACCTCCTCCCAATACACAGACATCGAAATTCCAATACCTTCCCTCACCTCCTCCTACACAGACATCAGGACACCTACCTCTCACCTCCTCCCTAATACACAGACATCAGGACACCTACCTCTCACCTCCTTCTAATACACATCAGGACACCTACCTCTCACCTCCTCCCAATGCCACAGACATCAGGACACCTACCTCTCACCTCCCACACACAGCATATCAGGACACCTACCTCTCACTTCCTAATACACAGACATCAGGACACCTACCTCTCCCCTCCTCCTAATACACAGACATCAGGACACCTACCTCTCACCCCCTCCTAATACACAGACATCAGGACACCCACCTCTCACCTCCTCCTAATACACAGACATCAGGACACCCACCTCTCACCCCCTCCTAATACACAGACATCAGGACACGTATCTCTCACCTCCTCCTAATACACAGACATCAGGACACCTACCTCTCACCTCCTCCTAATACACAGACATCAGGACACCTACCTCTCACCTCCTTCTAATACACAGACATCAGGACACCTACCTCTCACCTCCTCCTAATACACAGACATCAGGACACCTACCTCTCACCTCCTCCTAATACACAGACATCAGGACACCTACCTCTCACCTCCTCCTAATACACAGACATCAGGACACCTACCTCTCACCTCCTCCTAATACACAGACATCAGGACACCTACCTCTCACCTCCTCCTAATACACAGACATCAGGACACCTACCTCTCACCTCCTCCTAATACACAGACATCAGGGCACCTACCTCTCCCCTCCTCCTAATACACAGACATCAGGGCACCTACCTCTCACCTCATCCTAATACACAGACATCAGGACACCTACCTCTCGCCTCCTCCTAATACACAGACATCAGGACACTTACCTCTCACCTCCTCCTAATACACAGACATCAGGACATCTACCTCTCACCTCCTCCTAATACACAGACATCAGGACACCTACCTCTCACCCCCTCCTAATACACAGACATCAGGACACCTACCTCTCACTTCCTCCTAATACACAGACATCAGGACACGTACCTCTCACCTCCTCCTAATACACAAACATCAGGACACCTACCTCTCACCTCCTCCTAATACACAGACATCAGGACACCTACCTCTCACCTCCTCCTAATACACAGACATCAGGACACCTACCTCTCACCCCCTCCAAATACACAGACATCAGGACACCTACCTCTCACCTCCTCCTAATACCCAGACATCAGGACACCTACCTCTCCCCTCCCCTTAATACACAGACATCAGGACACCTACCTCTCACCTCCTCCTAATACACAGACATCAGGACACCTACCTCTCACCTCCTCCTAATACACAGACATCAGGACACCCACCTCTCACCTCCTCCTAATACACAGACATCAGGACACCCACCTCTCACCTTCTCCTAATACAGAGACATCAGGACACGTTCGTCTCACCTCCTCCTAATACACAGACATCAGGACACCTACCTCACCCCCCTCAAATACCACACAGACATCAGGACACCACTCTCACCCCCTCCCACAATACACAGACATCCAGGACACCTACCTCTCCTCCCTAATGCAGACATCCAAGGACACACCTACCTCCTCACCTCCTCCTAATACACAGACATCAGGACACCTACCTCTCAATCCCTCCTAATACACAGACATCAGGACACCTATCTCTCCCCTCCTCCTAATACACAGACATCAGGACACCTACCTCTCACCTCCCCTTAATACACAGACATCAGGACACCTACCTCTCACCTCCCCTTAATACACAGACATCAGGACACGTACCTCTCACCTCCTCCTAATACACAGACATCAGGACACGTACCTCTCACCTCCTCCTAATACACAGACATCAGGACACCTACCTCTCAACTTCTCCTAATACACAGACATCAGGACACCTACCTCTCAACTTCTCCTAATACACAGACATCAGGACACCTACCTCTCACCTCTTCCTAATACACAGACATCAGGACACGTACCTCTCACCTCCTCCTAATACACAGACATCAGGACACGTACGTCTCACCTCCTCCTAATACATAGACATCAGGACACCTATCTCTCATGTCTTCCTAATACACAGACACCTCGCATTTACATCCTGTTCCAAATTATTATCCAAATTCTATTTAAGTGTCAAAAAGATTAACTTTGTTTTTCAGTTTAACTCATTGATGGCATTGTGTCTCAGGGCTCTTTTGATCACTGAAAACAATCTCGGACACCTGTGATAATTAGATTGCCAGGTGAGCCCAATTTAAGGAAAAACTACTAAAGGAGGGTGTTCCACATTATTAGGACCACTCAAGGCACCCAGACCACTTCAGCTTAATGAAGTGCTCTGGGTGCCAGGTCCAGCTAGGGTTAACCCATTCTTTTATAAACATAGCAGTTTCAGAGAAACTGCTATGTTTATGAATGGGTTGAGCCTTCCCCCAAATCCTCTAGTGGCTGTCTCATTGACAGCCGCTAGAGGCGCTTGCGTGATTCTCTCTGTGAAAATCACAGTGAGAGCACGCAAGCGTCCATAGGAAAACATTGATAATGCTTTCCTTTGCGACCGGCTGAATGCGCGCACAGCTCCTGCCGCGCGTGCGCATTCAGCCGACGGGGAGGAGAGTTGGAGGAGGAGAGCTCCCCGCCCAGCGCTGGAAAAAGGTACGTTTTTACCCTTTTTCCCCCTTCCAGAGCCGGGCGGGAGGGGGACCCTGAAGGTGGGGGCACCCTCAGGGCACTATAGTGCCAGGAAAACGAGTATGTTTTCCTGGCACTATAGTGGTCCTTTAAGCAGAGCACCATTTTCATGCACATGGGGAAGAAAAAGGATCTCTGTTGCCTAAAAGAGAGTGAAATAGTTCAATGCCTTGGACGAGGTATGAAAACATTAGATATTTCACGAAAACTTAAGCGTGATCATCGCACTATTAAGAGATTTGTGGCTGATTCAGAGCACAGACGGGTTAGTGCAGATAAAGGCACATTGAGGAAGATTTCTGCCAGATCCATGCATCGGATCAAGAGAGCAGCTGCTAAAATACCATTACACAGCAGCAAACAGATATTTGAAGCTGCTGGTGCCTCTGGAGTCCCACGGACATCAAGATGAAGAGTCCTCCAGAGTCTTGCAACTGTGCATAAACCTTCTATTCGGCCACCACTAACCAATGCTCACAAGCAGAAACGGCTGCTGTAACGGCACCCTCAGCATTAAATGGTCAAAACCGCCGTTTAGTTAAATAACAAGAAAAAGGAAACTCAAAAGGCTGGAAAGTGGGAGGGGAGGAAAAGACACTCCCGTATCCCACTGCCGAGCCTCCAGAGTATAGAGGTCACCTGGACTGGTAAAAGGGGGTAACCCTGGAAATTGTAGAAAAAAAGGAAGAAAAAAAACCCAAAAAGGGATGTCTTATATAAAGACCGCCCAGAGGGTAAATACCCAGTCCAATCTCAACAGTAGTGTAGTTGCCAAAAAATAAAAAAGCCTTTATTGAAATCTATTAAAAACCTGGGTAATCAGTGATGGACAGAATAATATAGGGAGAAATATGTATGGTAGGAACAAGGCTAATCAAGAGCCAACCCTCACAAGAAGCAGAGAGGGGATAGAAGGCAATATGTACCCCCATACATAACTCAGGTAACAAAGCAGTAGGAAAGAACAGGGAAAGGGAGAAACACACACTCCCAACCAAACAGTAGTGCTATGCTAATACCCTATCTCCTATAAAACACCTTCGTGGGTGTTCTAATCTAAATGCTGTCATAACATCTGAAGCCCCAGGTTACACACACATACTAGAAAAACATAAATGAAAAGGTGCTCAGAGCAAAGTGCTCAAGAGAGTATTAAAAACACAGAAGAACCCGACGTACGTTTCGGCGTGACCACACGCCGTCCTCAGGGGTATTCCTCCCCTCTCGCAATAATGCAAACTCCATTCGTATAGACTCCAATCATCCGAACTGCAAGCAGGGGATGTGCCAAGAGTGGCCGTTTTTAGTTCCATACAATCTGTGCCGAACACCGCTGGTCCTTCGCACGGTTTAAAATGGCCGCCGCCTCGTGGTCGACATGTGAACGATGACCACCCTGTATTCGGTTATAATTGAGAGGTGTCTGTGGTTAACCACAACGTTCTAATTGGGATCAAGAGGTTAACCAGCAGCACACTTCTCTTCTGGGTTGCCGTCCGTTCGGTAAGTTCATTCGGTAAAAACGTCAAACGAACAGGGGCATACGGACAGGTAATTCCATGAAAAGAGGAAAAACAGACGAACCAGCAATCTTAGTCTATACAGATGGATCTGTCACACGGCTCCCCCCTTGTGGAACACTCCGGCAGACCCGGCTTGACCCTTTGGCGGGTCAACTTGGGGATGACCGGACCAGGAGGTGGTAGGGACGTCGGTTTGCCGGGACAATCCATCAGCATTCCCGTTCTGCTTACCGGGTCGGTAGCTGATGGTAAAGTTATAAGGTTGTAAAGCTAAACTCCACCGCAGCAGTCTACCCTTGTCCCCTGAGACCCGGTTAAGCCAGACAAGTGGATTGTGGTCCGTTATAAGGGAGAATTCCTGTCCGTATAAATAGGGGCTCAACTTCTTTAATGCCCAGACCAGGGCTAAACACTCCTTTTCCACTGCCGCATAACTCACTTCCCGAGGTAGTAACTTTCTGCTGAGATATGCGACAGGGTGCTCTCCTCCATCCTCCGTGACCTGGCTCAGCACAGCCCCCAGTCCATACATGGAAGCATCTGTAGGAACGAGAAAACGTTTGTTAGGGACTGGGGCAGCCAGGACAGGGGCATTCACAAGAGCCTGCTTCAGTGCCTAAAATGCGGCTTCACAAGCTGGAGACCACAGGACCTGCTTAGGTAGATTATTTTTCGTCAGGTCAGTCAGGGGTTTGGCAATAGTACTGTAATCCGGGACAAAACGTTGGTAGTACCCTGCTGTCCCCAGAAAGGCCAGCACCTGGGTCTTTGTGATAGGTGTGGGCCAGTTAGCCACTGCCTCTACCTTGGCTGGCTCTGGTCTCTGGCTCCCACACCCTACTCTGTGACCCAGGTACTGGACTTCCGCCGTGCCTAAATGGCACTTGTCTGGTTTCAAGGTCAGGCCGGTGGCCCGAATCTTGCCCAGAACCACCCCTACATGCACCAAGTGTTCTTCCCAGGACTCAATGTAGACCGCAATGTCATCCAGGTATGCACACGCAAATTCCTGGAAGCCATCGAGAAGTCTATCCACCATACGCTGGAAGGTAGCCGGAGCATTCTTCATCCCAAATGGCATGACCTTAAACTGGTACAGGCCAAATGGGGTGACGAAGGCCGACTTAAGGATAGCTTCCTCGGCCAGGGGGATCTGCCAATAGCCTTTATACAGGTCTATAGTGGTCAGATAGCGTCCCCTGGCAATACGGTCTAATAACTCGTCTACCCGGGGCATCGGGTAGGCGTCAGTGGTGGTCCGTTCGTTGAGCCGCCTGTAGTCCACACAGAACCGGGTGGTCCCATCTTTCTTAGGCACTAGGACCACAGGCGAGGCCCAAGGGCTGTCTGAGTGTTCGATGACTCCAAGCCTAGTCATCTCCTGTATCACCTTCCGCATTCCTTCTCGGACTGCTTCAGGGATACGATAGGGTGGCTGTCGTAAGGGATTCTGTCCGGGGGTCTCTACCTTGTGTACAGCTAGGGTAGTGTAGCCTGGTTCTTGGGAGAACGTCGCCTGCTTCTCCCACTCTGTGGGGCTCAGCCGATCCCCTAGCTGTACAAGACTAGTGAGGTCAGTCTGGGGGTACTTCTCTAATAAGTCAGGCAGAGGTAAATTCTCAGGGTCGTCGGCAGCCAGGCATACACTGCAGTGACATCTTCTGGTCTCTCCTGATACTCCTTCAGCATATTCACATGAAAGGATCGCTGAATCCTTTCATCTGCACAGCTGACTATAAGGTAGGTAGTATCAAACACCTGAGCTAACACTTTATACGGGTCCTGCCAAGATGCTTGCATCTTGTTCGTCTTCACAGGTTTGAGCACTAAAACCTTTTGCCCAACCTGGAAGACCCGCTGTTGGGCTCCCCGATCGTACCACATCTTCTGTCACCCCTGGGCCGCCTGGAGATTCTCCCTTACCATTAGGGACAGTTTCTCCATGCGGTCCCGGAGTTCCAGAACGTATGGTACGATGGGGGTTCCTTCCTGCTCTGTCTCTCCCTCCCAGTGTCCTCTAATGAGATCCAGGGGTCCGCGGACCCTTCTCCCAGAGAGTAGCTTCCTGGGACAGATGAGGCAGGAATCGCTCCCAGTCTCTGCAAGTGTCAGTAAAGGTCCTCACATCTGCTTGAGGGTGCCATTAAATCGCTCGCAGAGGCTGTTAGTCTGTGGGTGATAAGGTGAGCTAAGCAGCGGTTTAATGCCGCACACCTTCCACAGCTGCTGGGTGGCAACAGCGGTAAACTGAGTTCCCAGGTCGGAGAGAGAATCTCTTGAGGGAACTAGACCCTAGAAAAAATCTTAACCAGGGCATCAGCCACTTTCTCTGCCTCTATATTAGACAGCGCTACTGCCTCTGGATAACGTGTGGCGTAGTCCACCACTGTGATAATATACCTCTTCCCGGATGGACTAGCCCTGGCCAGTGGACCCACAATGTCAACGGCTATGCGGGAAAAGGGTTCCCCAATGATAGGCATAGATATAAGCCTAGCTTTTGGGTGATTCCCCCCGTTTACCTACCCGTTGACATGTGTCACAAGTACTAGAGTATACCTGCACATCTCAGTTGAAATTAGGCCAAAATAAATTTTGAGTGATCCTATGAGCTGTGCAGCGGGAGCCTAGATGTCCAGCTAATGGCACATCATGCCCAATCCTCCCAGGTTTCCCTCCCGTACATCTCTGGGGTATCCCAGCCTAACGGGGCCTTGTCTAAGGTGCAAGTCGGGGTAGAGAGTCTTACCTGGGTCTCAGCAGCAGGTGGGCCGGTCTCGGCGGCACGGGTCGTTACAGCGTTAACCTCGGCGGGACCCATGGGAGCGTAGGCAGAAACCAGGGGGGCCAAATCATTTCCAAGAAGGATGTCTGCCGGTAAATCCCTCATGATCCCCACATTCACATGTCTAGCGCCCACTCCCCAATCCAAATGTACCCGGGCAATGGGTAGGCGAAACACAGTGCCTCCGATTACTCTCACCGCCACAGTGTCTCCAATGTGTTGGTTCTCAGACACCAAGTGCTTTTGAAGTAGTGTCATGGTTGCACCGGTATCCCGCAGACCACTGACCTCCTTCCCGTTTACTTTGACAAGTTGCCGGTGTTGCTGTCAGTTATCCCAGTGGGCAGCTTGGACAGGGTCTGCCTCGTGCAGGATGCCCCAACATTCCTCCTCCTCTACGCAGTGGGCAGCAGGCGGAGGGGGTCGTTGGTTTCCGCTGGTTGGTCTCCTCCAAGACTGGGCCTGGTTAGCATTATTCAGCGGGCACTCTGGTCGTTTGTGCCCTAGCTGCTTGCACCCAAAACATCGGATGGGTTGCGAGTAGTCCCGTGAGTTAAACCGGGGCGGCTGCGGGTAGTTATTAGCTGGAGCGGGTGCTGACGGGCGGTGCGTCGGTGGTTGGTAG